GTAGCCTTTAAAGCACAACCCCAAGAGAGATAAAAGGACATGTCAAGATATTACCAGTGGTTATAAAATACAGCTGTGTTTTAGCTCAGTATATGTAGATTATAATATATGCTTATATCCAATATATTCTCAGAATATATTATTAACTCTTCTATGTACATTTTTAGAAACTTTTGGGGGGAATAATTTTAGATTTACAAAAGAGTTGTAAAAAGAGTACTGAGCATTTCATACTTTCTTCACCCAGCTTCCCCTCATGTTAACCTCTTACATGACCATGCTTTATTTATTCAGCAAACCTAAGGAGTTCACATTGGCAAAGCACCATTAATTAAACTGAAGACTTTATTTGGATTTCCCAGTGTTTCCACTAATCTCTTTTTCTGTTCCAGGATCTGATCCAAGAGACCATGTTGCATTTAAGTTCCTGTGTACTTTTCATACATTAATTATAATTATATATTAACTTTTCATATATGCACTTCCTACCTTAAATAGAGCCCTTAACACATCAACTATATTCTGCTACAAGCAGCTTTCTAACTGGTTCCTACATCTTAGTTTCTTTGCCATCTTTTGACATATTGCTTTTAAATCTTCACCATCCTGCTCAGAAATCTTTGACTTGTTCTACAAGAAAACCAAGACCAAGAACATCAGACTCTCCACATTCCAATCTTCCCACTCCTTCCCCAAGGTGAACTGGCCTGGGTGCTGCATCCCACACCAAAGTTTCATGCTTTCCACTTCCATATCATTGCCTATATTACTCATATTATCATACTGTTTTTAATATTATATTATTTCCCTTGCCCATGAAGCCATATTTGCCCACCCCATTTAGCAGAGAGCTCACCCTACCCCTACTGTCTAGAAAATTCACCCAGCATCATCTGCTATCTTTTCTTTCTGGTTCCGCAACCAGACCATGAACTTCTTTGGAGAAGAAGAGCTGTCTTGTGTGCATCGTTGAATGTCCACAATATATTGCACAGTTTAGTTTAATAAATATGTCCTAATTGGGATGCTGGGAACCTTATATTCTAATGATTATAAAAATAACGGCTATTTCCTATTTCTGGCCTGATATGTTAGGAGCTTGGAAGGTATTGCACCCCTCCTAACAAAACAACAACAACAACAACAACAACAAACCAAAAAACAAAAGCCAAGTTAGTAATTTTTCTTAGGTCAGAGAAGTGAGATCACAAGGAAAACCACTAACACAAAAATTGGAGAGAGAAAATCAGAGTGACAGTGAATCACCACTTACCAGAGCAGAAACCTGTGCAGGACATGGAGGTAGAACAGAACCAGAGTTAGAAACCTCTATGCTGTAATTGACAAATTGCTGGGGGATCAGTGTGAATAAGTCTGACAGTTACAAACAATGGTGCACACTAACCCTGCCCTTCCCGTGTTCTGGAAACTGTCTGAACAGGTTACATCTGTCAGATTACTTATGTCTTGCAAAAGCCTTATAAGGAGGCCATTTTCCAGATAGGAAAACTGAGGCACGGGGAGGTTCAGTAAGTGGCTTGGTTAGTAAATGTCAGAACCAAGCCCACATTCTTCATGATTACTCTATATTTGCCTCATACCAGGTGCCAATAGCCTCTCAGACAAGGCCACATAAGCCAGTCATGGGTCAGATGACATTTACAGATACAGGAAAACCTAGGGCAACAGACATTTACTGTCTACAAGAAACACTCATTAACTCTCACCACTGGGGACCGCTCTTCCCTGTGACCCTAGCCCAGTGCTTCTACAACATCTCCCCATCTCACCACTGCCACAATTAATAAGGTTTATTCTCACTTCATGAAGGCCACCATAAAGTGCCTCTATGTCAAATTTTCTTCTAATTTCATTCTTCAAGGCTCATCATGCTTTGTGCTAAGTACTATATCCCTCCCAGGACAACTAGAGCCTAAAATATTGTCATCGGTGATGAATATGTGTTCTCCAGGTAAGGTGTATTGCTAGTAATTAAACAGTATTAATTCCATCAGCTTTGATTTATTCTGCTCTCTCAGTAATGAAGCCCAGTATTCTATTTTCTCTCTACCTAGCACTGAGCAATAGAATTGGTGTTTAAGGATTATCATATAAATCTACTTTTTGGTCAGTCAGTGTTGGGGAATTTTTTCAATATATTACAAATGTATTCATTATTCCCTCGTTCATAAAAATAATTAAAAGCTACGGCCGAACACAAATTCCCAGAGCACAAAAGCCTGACTGGCATGCTACTGCCAAATACCAAGGTTGGCAGCTTCTTAGTTTACGGGTTTCTTAATGAGAACTCGTACCTTCTCATTCAATAAAGGGCTTAGGTGGACATTTCCTGCTGGTGTTCACAGGAGTTATAAAACTAAAACCCTACACATCAAAATGAAAATGGGCTACTGTTACTTTCTATATGTTTTTAGCAGTTCAGAAATAACTTACCCTAAAATAAAAACTATCCCCAAAAATCTGACAATTCTTGAAAAGTGATCCCCAGGATGTTAATAACATTCTCTTAAAAAAAAAAAAAAAACAGCAAGGAAGGAGAAAGAAATACAAGTAGATCCAATCCATCATTGTGATATCCAAGTTTCTCCTTAGATAAAACAGACATAAAACATGTACTTTACAAGCCTCAGATGACCTTCAAGACATCTAAAGTACAGTATCTATGGATTTTTAAGTATAATTAACAACTCCTGTTTTTCCATTTAAAGAATCCAAGTTCTGTTTCTGTGACAGGCAAAAGCCAATCAATCTCGTTTTCAAATGCTAATACAAGCAATTAAAAATAACATTAATTAAAATACTGCAGGGGCTGTTAGATTTTTGGTGGTGGAGTTTTTTTTTTTTCCTTTACCTAAACTCGTGACAATTCTAATTTACAGGACTAATTGAGGAAGCACCCTTGGTTTGATCCATTTCTGGGACGAAGAGCTGGCCCCTGAAACCCAGCTGAGAGCTGCAGAAAGCCACCGCTCTGTGAGGAACCCCGGGCACTGCAGCTGAAATGCGTATTTCACCTGGTACACCAAATGTGACAGATCGTTTTATTTATATCACGAATATTAATTTTCTGGTTTTGGTAACGAAAATGTAGAGCTCATTTGTATTGTTGTAAAACTTGTAAATATGCCCTGTAGGATAAGTAATATTCAAAACAACATCCTAATTAAAAGGAAAACTCAGTTGTCTTGCAAGATAATATAAGGAGGGCACATAAATTGTAAATAAGATACATGGTAAAAATGAAAAAGACAGTCTGGATAGGAGAGGAATGAAATAAGATTTGGAAATGTGCTTTTTAAATGAACACAAATTGTGAGATAATGTCTCATTGAACAATAAAAATAACAAAACAGTGGCAAAGATGTAATAGAATTTCCTATGTATACCATTTTAATCTTAATATAATTTTCCCCAGCGCATCCACGTTTATTGAACTACTACGACCATTTCTTTCTCACTCTGTCCAAAGTTACTGAGACAGTATTATTTGCTGTAAATAATTCCCTGATTATGAACATGAAAACGATCTAGAAATTGACCACAGTGCTTTTTTAAAAATGACATAGTGTCTGCTCAGGGCCAAAGGCCTTATGGGAATGGCAAAGTATGTATAGTTTTCTCAGGGAAGCAGAATGAGAACACAGAAGAATACATTCCCCACGTCCTCTCCATAAGGCAACTCCACACCTTTGTTTCTTTTTCCCTTTATTCAAAAAAATGCAAAGAAGACTTCTATGACACCTGAGCCTATGGTGTGCTGGACAGAGCACAGAGCTAATGCCAAAGAAGTGCCGGGTCCAGGAAACAAGTACACATGTGACTTGAAGAAAATCTACATCAGTGCATCCTCAGTTTCTCAGTCTGCAAATGGGGGTGATGATACTTGCCTGTTAGCTTCAAGCTTGATCACAAATGAATGTTGAGTAAATACTACTTAAATATGTAGGTGAGAGTCCAAATTCACTAAATACGAAAAGGTTTGCTGGTGTGGACACATGACGTCCAGAGGAAGCCCTACATCTACTACTGACCCCAACTGAGGAAGTTCAGCAAAATGTCCAATTCCAATCCAATGCCATATACATCTCAGATGTGCACACACGTCTTCTACTCATGTAGGTCATTCAGTCTATGTGTGTATTTCATGGATGTCATCGATGTTCTTATAGATCTTAAATTCTTAAAAAATACTCAAAAGTATAGAATATGCTCTGCTTAATTATTTTGCCCTCCATTTGATGTCACTGTGGAGTAGGAATTCGGTTTCTGCTGAACATCAGTTCAAATGCTCTTTCTGACATTCACAGTCTAATTTGCTTTATTAATTTATTATTTTTCGAAAATAATTCATCAGACAAGAGAAAGATGTACTTGTTCACGCATTAAGAAAACATGTGCCAAACACATCAACAAATCCATTTTATTAAATGTGTTATCAATTAATCCCTTTGTTGAAGAGAATGCTAACTGCATAATGTGACTTTTAATTTTGATTTTTTATACTAGATTAAACAGTAGAAAAATTATGGACCACATGAAAAAGTACCTACAAAGCAAACAATAACTGACATAACCAGAAAAACTAGGTTCATAAACAAGTATTCTTATAATAAGTGGTCTTGCTGTTAGAGCTGCAAATCACGAGCATGCTATCTTTATAAATTTTGCATTATTTTTTTCTAGAAAAATTCTAAGGATTTAAATTGAAGTTTCCTAGTCTATCTGATTTCTTAACATAAAAATCAATTTCAGTGGTTTTCTATTCTATTTTTTTTCAAAGCCTCATTGATCCACATGCAAATAGAGTAAAGGCCATCATTAAATACATCCCCAGGCATTACATATTCAGACTTTATAATCATGGATCAGCTGGTAGGAGATGATTACAAAGGCAACTTGAGATTGTCTGAAAGATCACCAAAGCAGACATCCTTTCCAAAAGCAGAGGCCTCTTCTCCAGCAGACATGGGACAGCCGTCTTTTATAGACTTTCCTTTAGTCCATTATTTCGGATGATCTTGGCATACTCCTTGGCTGATGTGTAAGGGACTCGAGGTCTAGCAGGATCCTCAAAATCAACGTGGAAGAGACCAAACCGGCTACTGTACCCTTGGGTCCACTCAAAGTTATCCAGAAGAGACCATGCACAATATAATTTAAGATTGATTTTATCAAGCTGGATAGCTGATTTTTGTTTCAAGAGAGAAAATAAAAGAAAGGAAGAAAAAAAGAAAGAAAATTATCATCTCTGGGAAAGTTTTTTGAGAACTTCAAAATCATTGACAACCAGCATGGTATCTTTCTCCTGCAGGAGATCACAGAAAAAACTTCTAAATTCTCTTTTCCAATTTTCTTTTTTTTTTTTTTAACCAAGTAGGGGCTCCACTCAAGAAGTTAAATTACATATCATTCTAATTATTTGGTTATTCACTCATTTTGATATGTGTTTTATTCGTCCATTGATTTACTCAATAAATATCTTTTTAATATCTACTACTTTTCAGACACAGAGAAACACACACACACACACACACACACACACACACACACACACACAGTTTCTCTCTAGTACCTAGAATTATATTTATTCAAGACACTGCTCAGCTTCCAAGTGTAATCTCTAGATGATCCACAAAGTCCACTAGTAAATTGGAAGAGATGATAAAAATAGGGCTGAAGAAGCCTTAGCCCTTGTGTCTCTATGACCAAACTGAGACATGTCTTATAATTCTGGAAACAGGACCCTAAAATGAAAAGGGTCAACACACCTCCCTGGTTATACATATATCTTAGACTGAGTAGGTACAAAAATGTGATGGCATCTCCTCTGCCCAACATCTAAACTTACAGTGGTGTTTAAACCCCCTAAAAGCCAAAATAATGGACCATCTCTCCCCCAAATACACTTGTGCACATATGCAATATTCTATATAATTTCATTTGTGGGTATCTGAAAGCCCATCCCTGGACTCTGTAGTGAGATACCAAAGTGTGGAGAATTTTCAAAGTAGTTTTACACTGATTCCCATCCTGTTAGGGAATTTAACTCACTTTTTAGTATTTTAAGTATTTCAATAAGTATTATTTTAGCATTAGGATTTAGTAATTAGCATTTTAATTTAATATCTTAAGTTTGGCAAAACTCTGGCATTGTATGAATTGCTGTATTGAATATGTCTTTTTAAACCAGCATTTTAATTTAATATCTTAAGTTTGGCAAAACTCTGGCATTGTATGAATTGCTGTATTGAATATGTCTTTTTAAACCAGGATAAGTGAACTCTATTTATGGGATGCACTCATATCTATTTCCCAATGCGGAAATTAAATAAAAAGGCAAGTTTCCTTCATAAGATAGACATATTCCTAAATAAGTTGGGTAAAAAGGAACATTCATATAATATACCAATTTTTAATGATATTAGGGATCACTCTCAACCAAAATGGCTCTTCTGGCATTGGCAAAGCAAGATCCACTCTATTTTTTTCTTTGTTGTAAATCTGTGTTTGGGGGTTCTCTTAGAAGCACTATACTCATAAACTATTGCATATGTGTTGGTCTCCTAATCACCTTGGAATTTTTTTTTTGACTATGGACACCCCCATAGACAAAAGGTTCCTGAGAAGTTAATTGATGCATAACCCCTCCACCTTTGCGCATGGAGGCGTGCAAAGTGCTGTACTTAGAGAGTGCCTTATGAATGGTCTCAAGGCAGGAATTAAGCCAAGCTAGATTGACTCCTTTTAAATAAAGTATGGTTGGAAAATGAAATACATAAGATTAAAGCACACCAAGTTTTGCAGGCATTAAGACATTTATAGATATCCCTTCTTCTACTTGTCCACATTACCATTCGTGTCTCCTCCCCTCTCTGTCAACCACAACTGCAAAACACCAATATTTTAAAATCATTTTTTTAAACTAATTTAAGTTCTGGATGGCATATATATAAGAATTAAAATAACTGAAACCAAATACCAGGCCAGAAAACAAAAATCTCCTGTGACTGCCTTAGAATTCAATCCAGAGACATGTAAGAATCTGCATTATTTTTTTTTATTTGCAGAACGACTGCCCAACACGAACGCCTGCCAGATATAAAGCCAGACGGTTTCTGAAAACACGCACAGTCCCACTGAACGTGCACAAAGGATTGATTCATGTGCTCAACCAAGGGATAAAGACGATGCCCTGCCTGCTTGAAAGGAAACAAAAAGGAAATGCAGACAATTTCATTGTTACCTGCCAGGAGTTCAGCTGCAGGTACTAAACTGCCCAGTGACGCTGGTGGGCGTAGCTGCATTTTCACGGCAGGAACATTCAAATAGAGAATCACCTGGCTGCTTAGGGCTGAGGAGTTAGCCTGCCGGATTCCTTCCCATTGTGCTACCACAGGGAAAAGTTACGAAACCATGCTAGAGCCTGTATGCCTCTGCTCTTCCAATCTCCTCTGGAACAGACAGAGACCATCATCACATTTCTCGTCAGTGTGATTTAGGAGGGCCCAAATCTTAGTAGGGAAAAATCACTTCTGTGAGTTCACTTTCTTTCCTTAACCAGAGTTGCAGGCAAAGAAAACAGACTGACAGGGACTACGAATGGGTACAAAACACACGGGATAAAAACAACAAACATACAGAGCCAGAGTTTGGTTTTAGACAAAAAGGCCAGAGGAAAAGATCTCACAGTCAGCAAGTTGAACATAAAGATGCAAGGAGAAAAATATCTAAGACTTGCTAATATATTAACGTCTGAGTCAGGCTGTTCTAATTATAAGAACCATGTGCCAGTGTTATCCTACTCACTCACTCACACACACACACACACATACACACACACACACACACACACACACACACACACACACAGCCCAGTTTTAGTCAAAGTGGGAAGGCTGAGGGGAATGGTTCTTTATCAGACCACCCTAATTCTTTACAAGTTCAAGGGGTCCCCAAACCACCCTCAGTTTCAATAATTTGCTAGAACTCACAGAACTCAGTGAAACCTGTTATACTCACAGCTATGGTTTATTATGGCAAAAGATACAAATTACCATCAGTCAAAGGAAGAGATGTACAGGTCAGAGACTGAGGGGCCCCAAACATGAAGCTTCCATCATCCCCTCCTCTAGGGGTCCTGGTATGGGCATGTGACCATACACACAAAGCACAGTCAATCAGAGAAACTCACTGGAGCTTCAGTGTCCAGAGTTTTTATTGTGACTTCATTACTCTGGCATGATTGATTAACTGACTGTCCATGTGGATGAACTCAGACTCCAGGTCAAGTGACACTGTGTAACCCAAAGCCCCCACCTTCAATCACATGGTTGGTCTTTCTGATGTTACTAGCCCCTATCCTAAACAAGGGCATTCTGTCAGGTATGACATAGATTTCCTCCCAAAAGCTGAAGGCAAAGGCCAACCTGCTATTTGGGCAAAACCAAATTCTTTACTACACACACACATGCACACATATACCTATTTTCAAAGCTCATTATTTTATGCTCCTGGGCAGAATCTTCTCAAATTACTGGTTTACGAAGTGCCGTGATTATGCCTGTGTTTGTCACATTACAAAAGGCTAATAATTGGGCACTCAGCTTCAGTGGGTTTTATTTCCTAACAGTTTATAAACAGAGATAGCCTTCGTTTTCAAGACTGCCTGGGACTATATAGGACATCCACAAACGTAGCACAACTGTTCAGCTGTCAAACAAACCACTAATCCACAGGCCCAAACTGCCGTGGTGAGGACCAGTGGAAGGGATCTGGACAGTGTAAAAGGCAGCCACCTCACAGAAGAAAAATGTCAGAGATAAAGCCCCAGGAAGGAGTGAGAAGAAAAAATACAAGCCTCTAGATTTCCGTGTTCTGGTAATGGCAGACTACATTACTTGAGCAAGCCCTCCTAATGAAACAAGTAAGCATGCTGGATAGAATTTTAAAACCAAATCTTCAAAACAATGAAAAGCTGAAAATTTCATAGGGAATTACCTGGCCATAGCAGAACAAAGAAATTGAGATTGATGGGCATGGTAGCTACTTTCACCTGATGGAATTGTCTATTCTTAGGAAATCAGAATCTTTTCCTATTACGCAGGGTGAGGATAGGTGTCAAAGCCCAGAGACACATGGAGGGAAATCTGAGACCCCACACATAGAAAACTAAGATCTCAAAGGACAAAACACTAATACCTCAAGGGCAGGATGAGCCAGAAGCAAACCAGTCACTGGAAAGTTTAAAGTCACCTGGTCGTTCTGAAAACATCAAGTCTGGGTCTTGGATGGAAGTGATTCCGGACTGAAGTAACTCCAAGTGTCTGGAAGATTCATATTCAAATACTTTCTGAAGGGAGAGATCTATATTCTAAGCCTTCAATTATTATCACAAATACTTTTAAGTATAATCATCAGCACATAATCAAATAATCAGAAAGACATGGGAAAATAACAATTAGAAAATCACTAAAATCAACAGACAACAGAAACAGACCCACAAAGAGCTCATTTATTAGCATTGTCACACTATAAAATAACGATGTTCACTATGTTTATACTGAAGAGATAAACTTGAAATATCTTCAAGGTTTATAGGGATCTATAAAAGTGATGTGGCAGATTTGGAAAAGGAAACAGTAACACTTGGGTTTGAATCCCAGATGCAGCAGTTACTAGCCATGGGACTTCAAGTTTTTCATGCGTACAATATAGACACTAATATCTACTCCTGGGGCTGCTGTAAAGATTAAACAAGACAGCATGGACTCAGCACAACATATTGCCCATGTGGGTTTCTGTTGTTTTCCACTCTGGCCACCCCTCAGAAGAATACAGTATCCAAAGTAAACATATACTTTGGTGTGCCCTCTCCCCACCAATCCAGATATTTTGATGAAGTAGAAACTGGGTTTAAATGAGCATCTGGGACAATGTAAAAGAGGAAGAGGAGTCACAAGAACAAACTTCAGTCTCAGAAACTGTAAGACTTAAGGGAGAGGCACAGACAGACTGTATAAATCTGAGGACAGGGGTCTTTACATCAGTTGACAAACTCCTTTCTTTTCTCCAGGGTGACATCTCCAAGTCACTGCCTGGCTTCCTGCCTCCCTGAGTCTCGAGAAGCAGTCCGGAGACCCCTATAATGCCGACTTTCAGGTGTCCAAGCTCTCAAACTTAAGAGT